TAAAGATGCCTAGTTTATGGAAGGTAGAGTAATAGAAGAATACAAAAAACTATGACTTTCCATCACCTTCAGGACAACAAGAACAGAAATTAAAACCTTTGCTTTGTCGGCATTTACCCAGAAAAAAAATCACCTACCACCCAGTCTTTTATGAAGTTGAGGCAATTCAGTAGAACAAACAGTTCAATTGCATGCACATGTTCCACCAATACAATAACCCCATCACTACTGTTTACTGTGAGGCAGAGGGATCCTAGTCTCCTACAGTACCTGATAACTAAATAGGTTGCGTCACCGCTGTGTAGTCAGTTGGCTCTTCTCTGTTTTGGATGTGTCATAGTTTGTGTTTTCATAAAGGCGACTTTGGAGCCATGCCAGTCTGTCTCCGTCAGTAATGAGAACCTCTGGTGTAACACCTGTAAGAGCAAACAACACCTACCGAGGTTTCATGTGTGTAGGCGTGCGATCCGCTGTGATTATACCCCACAGTCACAGCAGACAGCGAGACATTTTTAATGCTTTTCTTTAAAAAAAACACCTGACACTGACCCCCTCCTGGGCCTTTGTAATGAACACTGAACTACAGATCGACAGTCTGAAAGTGTTATTTTCATCATAATCCCATAATTGTAACTTCAATGAATAATCCCATAATTCACAATCAAACATACTTGAGCTTTGCCGACTCACATCACGACACATACAAAGTGTCCAAACTGTCTAACTTTCCTTCTCTGGCTTTCAAACTTCAGCAAAAACAAGACATTCAGACAAACACAGTTCAGGCTCTCGTGCTCTGTTTCAGTCAGAGCACTGAGTCATATTGTTGAAAGGTCCCCCCATATGTTGATTTGGGAGGTTGTGCTCAAAGGCGTTGAACCGCTGAGCTCTCAACACGGCTCAGAGGACCGCTTGCCTCATGTCTGCATTACATTGTACATCAACAAGCCAGACAGGCACCCATGTAAACGCACGTTACGCAACACTTCACACCTGTAAATGCAAGTCTGGCGGGCCAACGATTCCTTCTCTGTGGGTGTTGCTCAAATTTGCTACTCGTTGACCAATGGAAAACGATGCCGTCATTGTTTTAATGGCTGCGTAAGAGAACTGGCACTTCATTTGTTCCCAAGCCTAACTTCCTTGCTCTTATAAATCAATATTCGAGCTGCAGAGTTTCGCTGTATAAACAGCCATGACGACGAGTGTTTTCTTTTTCCATGTGTGTCCTGATTCAGCAATCACACTGTTTCTCTCATCCATTTTGTTTTTCTTCTGTGGTGCCAGTGTCTCCAGCAGCCCTGCTCGCTGCTCTTTTCCTGTTGCATAATATTATGTAATTCATAGTCAAACAAATACAGCAGTAAACCGTCCCTTCAGAATTAATACAGGAAATAATATGCTGCCAAGGATTCTGGGATTGCATTTTCAAAGGGCTTTTAAAATAACTGCCAGCAATAACTATGATGTCTACTATTTTTCTTCCCGTTCCTCAGAGTCTAGCTTCTGTCTGTGAGAGGAATAAACAGTCCTGTACATAAACAAGTGTAAAAGGGTAAATTGTCATTTTCACACTTTCGGTACTGGAAAATACGTTGTTGTTTTTTTTCTTTGGACATAACTGCACCGATTAGTCACAATATTAAAAACCTGCTAACGTGAAGTGAATAACACTGATCATCTCATTAGAATTTAGTGATCTGCTTTGAAACTTTGGGTCCTGGAAATTATATGAATGTTAGATTGACATGCATCACTCACCTAAATGTGTCTGCAGACCAGGATCATCCCTCCAATGGCAACGGAACTCCTGGAAGGCAGCGAAAAATGGTCAAAGGATCACTCGAAGAACTTGACCAAGAGCCCAAAGGGTTGACCAGGCCTTCAAACTCTCCCAGATTGTATTTCCATTGAGTATTCATGGGATACACCAGAATCAAGCTGCAATATCTAAGGCTGAGAATGTAGCCAATGCAATGGTGCAGTTCCTCTAGTGGCCACTTGAGGCTGACTCAAAAAGCAACTCAATCCCCATAGACTCCCATGTTAATATGCCCAATTTTACAGCAGAAATAAATATGTTTACAACCCGGTGTGAAAAAGGATTTGGGTCTCAATAGGTAATTTCCCTGTTTATGAAAACTGTACAGAAATTAATTTTACCCATTTCAGTTGAATCAAGGCTCACAATTGTGCATATTTAAGGGCGTGTCTGTTCTGAATGACAGCTGGGCGTCATGCGTGGCCCACTGCAGCTCCACTGAAGTGCCACCATGTTGCCCATTTTTGGATTAGCTGGGAGTTAAGACACTTCAAAGACTGCGAGGGCTGGAGCCACCAGACTGAGCTTCAAACCTGCTCTTCAGGAAACCGATGGGTAACACCACAGACGGTTTGTCCATCACTATATACAGTCTATGGCTGGAGCAAACCCAATCCTAGGAGGCTCCACCCTGCAGACCACAGGATGCAACGGATCCACTGCCAAGATCCTGATGCCAGACTCAACAGGATGCCTCCAAAGGTTCCATATCCATGGCCTAATGGGTGGTCGCTGTTTTTGCAGAATGAGGAAGACTAACACAATAAGAAGCAGGTGGTTTGAATTTTGTGGCTGATCAGTGTAAACTACCTAGTTACTAAACTAAGCTGAACATCTTGTAGTTGTGTCTTTATACTGGACAGCTATGAGAGGATTAATCCTCTCATCTCATGATTAAATGATTAACTGCATTTCCCAAAATGTCATGCCATTCCTTGAATAATCCCTTCTGAATCCCGTCTTTCTGCCTATCCTATAAAATCATACTGATTCCCACTCATAACTAAAAGCCCATGAGCTTATCCCGGAATTACGCTAAGACACATCCTTCACTACTCAATGCCCAATCCTCAACACCATGGAAATGTATGATACCATTTTAAAAAGACCTTTAAGCTCCACATCACTTCCAATAAGGCATAAGGACTTCAACTGGAAAGCCTACCTGTTCCCCCTGAGTCATGTCTTCATGCTACACCAAGCTAAAATGCTGCAGGCTGGAGCTTCCTCTTTTTTTCCCCCCAAGAGATAGATATGAGCATCGTACATATTTTCTCATTTGCTCTCCACTATTTGCAAAAATGTGGAACCATTCAAACCTGGACCCAAACTCAAACCCAAAAGGTGACCCAAGAAAGTCAGAAGGTTTGCAAGACTTAAGAGATAGAAAAAGAAAATTCAAGTTCAACTCAAAAATCCTTCAAGCTAAGCAATCTAAACTAAGACTATTGCCTTTGAAGCTAATATTTCACCACCCTCTTAAATCCAACTGAATGTTGGCGAATCATTATTCTGTGTAGCTGAACATGATTTTGAAGCCGTGGAGCTTTATTTGAAAGCGCGGCGCAAATATGGAGCCTTTAAAATGTGCTTAGATCTCGAGTCTTAATATTTTACTCTGCAGCTGCATAATACAATCAGACAGTGTGGAATAAAGCTACTCAAGGGTAAGTTAAAGGGAAATTTGATGTTGAGGAGCTAGCACATACATAAAAGTTCACATAAAAATTCATGCATCGCTACATGGAAGCCCAGTGCCTCACAAACCTTAAGAAAGTCAACGTGACTGTAAAACACTGTAAGAGTCATTATCATTACAGTCCTTAGCTGAAGATGCGTACGTTGAGCATTTCAGCAGACAAACACCGAGGTCCCGGTTCCCAGTAGAGCTGCCTGAGCATATGGCGTGATCGCCTGTGGAAGAAGTTATGTGCTCCTTGTGTCTTCCGTTAGGGGCCTACAGAGGAGCAGGCGCTAAACTTTTTACAGGATACCTGAGTCGTAACGTTACATAAGAAAAACGCACCTCAGCGGTAAAAACATTGCGTAGGACTGGTGACTTTCCATGGGCTGTAAAACAGACAGGTTAACTGGGCAGCAGATCGATCGTGTGGAACTAAACACAGATGTGCTCCTGCTTGGGGGGGAAACTGTTTCATTGCTGGTTATTCATATGAAATATTTTTGTAAGAGTCATGGAGGGCATCAAGAAAAAACTGATGGAATTGCTACCGTACAGAGGCCTTTGGTCCCTCGGAGACCACAATGATGTTTTTTGCACACTTACAATGGGTAGACTTGTGCTAAACTCCCGCGGTGATGTATTTACTATTTCCTCTCTCTTTTAAACACGGAGCCAGATCAAGTCCCAGACCTATCGCACGAAGACAGATGAAACACAGGTGGGCTTCATGCTGTTGGAAGCCAGACAGGATCATTCTGATGATAAAATGGTTTATTTTCCACTGTAAAGTGTCTTTTTCAAATGTTTTTCAATACTTGTTCGGTTCTGTTTGGTTCTAAACACACCAAATTAAGATGGTGGTACACCCTCATAGAAGCACCATTATGGCAGCAGCGACTTTTAGTCTCGTTATTTATTGACACATTGACTTTCTACAAATTATGGGGTTTGGTAGGAAGAAAGAAAAAGCCGCCACACCACATCTCCATTCCTCGCCAGACTGCCTCCTGCGCCAGACATCCTGCATCCATCTGCGGCGGACGCATGAGCATACCAGAAAGTCCTCGGCTCTTGTGAAGAACCAGCTCGCCAAAATACTTCCTCATGAACCCAAATTTCATCCTAGGTCATAAATGGAGTTTACTGTTAATCGCGCAGTGGTTTAATAGTAAAACTAGCGAGGAGGATGTAAACAGCTGCTAGACACATAAAAAGATGCTGTCCAGTCAAAACAACCTGCCGAGACATGAAAGAATGAACAAATTCTTTCCAGGAGCATCAAACTGTGTGTTTTTCCACTGATACCGTGTGATTGTTTATCCCTCTTGGTGCACCTCACGCCACCACCAGCAGAAAGAAGAAACACATGGACCTTTGCACAAACACTCCACACCCCCTAGCTATTCCATTCCCTGCCACACTCCTCGTCCCCTCCCTCCCCCTGACACTTTACTGTATAAATATCCTACTCGTAGCATTGCTGGGATTCAGACACTGACCTGCACTGACCAGGGATACTCAGGTGGGAAGAGCTTAGGAAAGCAAAACCGAGAGTAGCATTTAAACAGGACACGAGGAGGGGAAACTACTTCAACTCTGCAAATTTCCTCAAAACCAGAAGACTCAGTCAGATCCTCCAGAATGTGGTTCAGAGTGTCACTCCTCAGTTTGTCCTGTTTAGCTGTGATCAGCCAGAGCCAGGCCCAAGACCAAGCCTCACTCCGCCGCTCCAATGACCCGACCGGACGCTGCCAGTACACCTTCTCCGTGGCCAGTCCAGAGGAGTCCAGCTGCCCCGGAAGCGGCGCAAAACCAGAGATAGATGGAGTCCTGTCCCGGGTCACCCTGCTGGAAGCTTTGGTCAGCAGGATGATAGCAGGAGAGGACGGAGGCATCGGGAGCGGGGTCGGGGATAAAGGCCAAGAGGGTCTCCAGGAGGCTTACTCCCAGGTTACAGGGGAAAAAAACCAGCTGCAGCAGGACAAGGAGCGTCTGAACAAGCAGGTCCAGGATCTGCAGAGGAGGCTGGAGGAGCTGAGCCAGGAGGCAGAGAGCCTCAGGCAGCAACCCTGCCAGCAGACGCACACCTCAGGGGGAGCTCAGCATGGAAACAGGCCTGCCAATGGTATGTACATCATCAGCAAGTAAAGAAAAAACACACGCAAATCACCACCCAGGCTGATTACTTACTCCCCTAAAAGAGCGGATTCTCTCCTAACCACTAAAATGTTGTATTTGCTAATAGGAAAGCATATTTTAGAGGACATTCTGCCTGTGGTGGCTGCTCTCACTCTCTTTTAGGGAAGATAAACGTCTTTGTGGTTGACTTAGGCTATGAAAAGTCCCCAGGGGCAGCAGGTCAGGTTGCAGTTCGCTGTCCCAGGATGAGTAAGAGGATAGGAATTTACAACACAGCCTCGTCTTTTACGGCTTTGTCACTCACGCTCGTCTGTTTACGTGATCATTCACAGGGTTACAGCAGGAATCTGCTGCGCTCTGAGGCAAATAAATGAAGCACGGAGACGTTGACGTGCAATGTTTTACTCAACATTCCTGCCCAGTCGAACTTTTTTTCACTCAAATTTCTCCTATATTCATCCAGACCCTGGGTATGATTTCGGGAACGGTGCCTATCAGGAGATGAAGGCTGAGGTGACAGAGGTCCCAGCATCCCACCTCCTTCCTGTCAGAAATCACAACTTCACAGGTAATGACTCCCATTCATGTTACAGTAGCTGCTTAAGTCAACCTACTGACTGAGTGTTGATGCAAATTGACACCTTTGAAAGCAGCATCATGAAGTCTAACTTTTTCCTCAGGCTGTGGAGAGCTACTGTCGGTGGCAGATCCTGTGATGCACAGGAAAGCTGATGGCATCACAGGGAAGTACGGAGTTTGGCTACAGGATCCAGAGCCTCAGGGTCCTGAATACACCAACAAGACCGTGATGCGCATCGATGCAGTGGGTAAAGATGTGCGTCAGCTCTTCGTTTATGAAGACATGGATCAGTTCGCCAAAGGCTTCCCTATGAAGGTCCTGGTTCTGCCCGAGCCTGTGGAGAGCACAGGAGCAACCCTGTACCAAGGCTCCTTCTACTACCAGCTCAGACGCAGCCGCACTCTGATCCGATACGACCTGGCCTCCGAGAGCGTGGCGTCGCGCATCGACCTGCCTAACGCCGGCTTCCACGGCCAGCACCCTTACTCCTGGGGCGGCTACACCGACATCGACCTGGCAGTGGACGAGCAGGGTCTGTGGGCCATCTACAGCACCACCAAAGCAAAGGGCGCTATAGTGATCTCCCAGCTGGACCTCAAGAGCCTGGAGGTGAGGAAGAGCTGGGAGACCAACATCAGGAAGAACACAGTGGCCAACGCTTTCATGCTGTGCGGACGTTTGTACACGGTGGCCAGCTACACCGCGCCCAACACCACCATCAACTACGTGTTCGACACGGCGACCGGCGTGGGACAAGCCGTGTCCGTGCCCTTCAAGAACAAGTACCGCTACAACAGCATGGTGGACTACAACCACGGCCAGAGGAAGCTGTACGCCTGGGACAACTACCACATGGTCACCTACGACGTCCGACTGGGCCGAGCCAGCAGTTAAAGACGACCGCTGCTTACGGGACTGTACCGGAACAAGGCAATGAGATGAAACAAGCAATCACGTCAGTCGGTCAGATTATTGCAAGACTCTGTTATTTGTGTTTTTGAGTTATGAAATCTATTTTTTATGAGTATTGTAAATAAGATGTGCTATGACAACAAAGAAGTATTCAACAGGCAGATCAGCGTTGCTATGTAATAGCCAATGATGATCCCAGTAATCGTAAACAGTAACCATGATGCAATGACGGAATATTTTTGTAATCTGTTAATAAATGTTCATGTTATTTAAGTTCTCAATAAAATTTGTAAAAAGGACTTTTGCTTGTTTGAGTCACTTTCATTTTGAAAAATATTCCCACACTTGACGAATAATAAAAAGTTATTTTATGATACTGGATACAGATAATGACAACATGGAGTACGACAGTGGACAAAGGCACACTAGTCGTCAAAGAAAATAGATTTTGGAGGATCTTTCTTAAAGCTTTTACTTGTGGCCTGACTGGACCACATGAGGGCACCAAATGTAGCACAAAGCATCGAACAATATCTGCTAAATATAGAATGCTGAAGAAAAAAACCCCACATATGAGCCACTGAGCTGGTGGCGGGTTATATTATGTCATCTGCAGCAAATGTCACCGACCTTTGACCCTGGATGTCGAAGCTTGACCCAGAAAGAGACACAACATACAGCTCACCTCGAATCAGGGTGAGAAAGAGAGACGTTTCTTCAGGGTTTTTTAAAATTTTAAAATAGGTGGATTGTGATGAGAGAAAACAGAAAAGCAATAGTGTTAATCCATATTGTCCAAAGGGAGAAAATCCTCCAACAACCAGAATGCTTTGCAGCATTTTCCTGTCAAGTCTTCTCCCCTGACAGCTGCTGTTGAATTAGCTCGACTCTGACCTCTGCAGAAGTGAACCTGCATGAATCTAAAGTGAAGCTTTTGCAAAACACCACTAACAGGGAGGTCTCAGTACAGGCGACACAGAAGGATGTACTTTAAATGGCTATACCCCCCTTTGTAAAAATGCAACTTCGGGATGTTTACAACAAAAATAAACATTTTTTTTATGACTACGCTGCAATATTGATGAATAAAATGGGAATTCCACGTGCAATTTTTAGGATTTATTGTAGATAAATTGGGAAAAAAACATCCTAAAAAAGTAAGCAAAAGGTCCGTGAGGATGCTCTGTGTATGCACTACAGCAACATGCATCCTTTTTCTCCTTTAACTCGTTATTATAGTCGAGTTTTTTCCTTATATCACCTGCAGTGGTATTGTATAGGCTGCTAAATATCATCATATCTTGCCAAATAATTGGAATTTAAAAGAGATTATTAAAAATTATTCAATTTTCTGACAGACAACATTAATTTCTGCCACGTTTTAAACATATCAGACCTTTACATATTTATTAGATCGCCACCCAGTGTAAGGTTTATGCCTAAATTAGCAGCATTTGTAATTACAAAAATACATTTTTTATGTTTCTGTAAGGATTAATACATCAGTATGTAGAAGCTCTTTAACTGAAATTATATTTTTGATGCTAAAATATAATTATTATTGCTATCTGGGAATTTTAAAATGTAGTTTTACAAAAAAAAAAATAGCAAAGCACATTATTATTTCTTGATTAATATGTCAAATTATGGTTATTTACTTGCATTCCTGAACATAAAAATTAGTTTTAGTGGTTGAATATTATGCTTGATTCATTTCTGACTTCTCAGAGAAGCCCAGTGAGGCTTAGATTTGGGCTTGAAAAGGTGAAGTCAGTTAATGCTTAACAAATTAAACAGGTGGTCTAATACATTTGCTCAGCATTGTATGTTTGAATACACAAACTGCAGGGAAGATCTTGCAGCTAGCATCTCCACAGCGCAGCTTCAAAAGACATTCATTTATATTCTCCTGGGCGAAAAATTGATTTCCATTTACCTTGTGGTTGCACTTTAAAACATTGCTCATTTATACCATTTTTCATCAGAGATCCTGGAGTGAAGTGGCAGACAAACTGAACATGACAGTAAACCAATTAAGCACTCAGAACTGGAGGGAGCTCCTGACAGGCTCGGACACAGAGTCTGTCGATGAAATGAGTCTAAATCTGTCACCTCCAAGCCTTCAAACGCTGTCGGAGTTTGTGTGTGTTTGTGAGCTTGTATTTCCTAGTTATTGGGTTGGTCACACCCACTTATGACCTCATTAGGGCAGACGAATTAAGAACTGAGAGGCTTTAAGTCCACATGTAGTGTCCATATGAACAGCTCAAACTGCACTAAAGTCCTCGACTAGCCCCACGCTAACCATATTATTATTAAGCACTGCCCTCTGGGGACAACTGGCTGCATCTGCATTCTGCATGCAAGACCTACAGGCTTCAATTTGCACGCATCTCCTGGCCTCTTTAACATAATAAACATCTAATCAGCGTTGGCATAGTTTATTTTGGAAGTTGCATTGGTATGTTAAAAAAGGAGGTGGTGGCAGCACAGTTTATCGACGCTGTAAGACGAGACGGTGCGTATTAGAGCGTAATGACAGTCAGGAGACTCAGCAGCAGCTGATGGAAACTTGGGTGAGTGTGAGATGACTTCCCCTCAACAGCGTTCACACAAATATAGTGGCCACTCTACATTGTGACCCGCATGAAAACCCCGATTTAAAAAAAACTCACTCGCTCTCTCAGGAAGATGCCAAAACGACATGTAAAAGATACACAGCTTTCTTTAATCGGCTTTTTATATACACATATAAAAAATAGTCATTTAGCCTTGTGAGATTAAGTCCATGCATCAGCAATACCACGGTGTAAACAACCTGCATAGAAAAAAAAAACAGAACGCAAACGAGTACATGAAAACTGATAGAAACAAAGAAGTAGAAGGACTTTAATCTAAGCTCACTTTTTATAGTCGCAGGGAATTTCTGGGTCACACACACCACACTCATGCTACACTTGTTCCCCACACACAGGTTAACACACACACACACACACACACACACACACAGCTCCACCTAACCTAAATGCTTCCAATCCACCATCCAGAGTCCACTGTAAGCCCTGTTGAGTCTCTCTCTCAGCCGCATGAACAGCAGGTCCTGCAGGCAGTCCCAGGTCACCCACAACCTCTCCACCAGGCTGTACTGGCAGTAGCCCATGGCCAGGCCAAAGCCCACGTCCGTCACATAGTGCCGGGCGAGCAGCAGCCGACTCAGGCTCACCAGGGCGGCCCAGCCCACCACCAGCACCCGCATGGAGGCCGTGTCCACCAGCTGGGCGAGGAAGAAGCGGGCGCACATGGCCGCCCTCGAGGCGTGGCCCGAGGGGAAGGAGTAGCGCTCCACGAAGAAGGCGGAGAGGATGTCAGAGCGGTTCTGGGAAGGCCTTCGACGCCTGACCACCGTCTTCACCACTCGGACCAGCAGCAGGTCCAAAATCAGAGCTGTGAGGTGCAAAAAGAGAAATGCAACGTTGGTTTGAACCTGCAAAACATCCTGAGGTAGTCTATTAAAAAAAACAGCTCACAGGTACGGAAGCCAAAACCAGCCATGATTGTATTCTTTTTTTTTTAAAGCTGTCATTTTGAGAAAACAAAACTTAATCTTTGTCTCTCAGACATCAAGAGCGCCATGTCAGCACGCATACATGGCATCATGACAACTGAAGCAACTGATTTTAAGCTGAAGATGTCACATCAAGGAGTTCCAATCAGATTGTCCTTCAGTCAAGGTCGAACACAGGCAGGAGCTGCGTTGCGTCTTTCTGTCGGAGATAACAGTCAGATCAGTTTTCGTAGTTTGAGGAGGCGACTCGGCTTCACAGGCGAGTGGACTCGTGTGATCCTGCTGAGACTGTTGACAGTCATGACAGCGATCTCAGAGGCCGGAGACAGGCGCGATCAAATGAATCAAACACTCGTTTTTGAGTTTTCCACAGATATCAAGAGCTGATAAATGATCTCATTGTCTCAAGATGATTTGGTTTTTTGTTTTCTAGAGATTATGAGATGATTAAACCAGTTATCATGAGAAAGTGAGTTTTGCTATCTCAAGATAAAACAATAATTAGTTCATGATCTCGAGATTACAGCATTAAAAAAATTGTTCCCAGTGTCGCCGTTCTTGGCTTCCATACTCAAGCTATTTTGAGTCTTATTAGATTTAAGACTGAACTGTTTATTTAGCAGTTTTCTACCTGCCTGACCACTAATGTCGAACTCTTTATCACTTTCTAACAAGACATACATATTAGGACACGATATATCAGCGACCACATCGGTATCGGTCCGATGAACAAATTTAGCCGATGATTGTCTACTGTGAGCGCCTTCGTCTCTACATTTGATATTGCTGCTATTTCACAGATGTTTTTACTTAAATGGTCCTGGACTTAAATATGTTTAAATATGTTTTACTTTTGTTATGTAATAAAGAAGACCATGTGGTCTAGTTTGGGCTTCTTTTGAATAGTTTTCTCACAGTGCTTACTTCTACTCATTTTTCGATGTGAACAACTATTGAATATCGACATTGGTAATATCGGTTATCGGTGATATCAGAAATCTTAATATCAGATATCGGCATCGGTCAGAAATTTTAATATCGTGCATCACTAGTATACATACATATGGTGTGCAACCTGCAACTAATAGTTGCAAAAATGTTTAATAAAACTCTTCTTATTTATGTTTTATTAGTTATAAACCATGGATGAAAACAAGTTGTATTAAAATAGCTGGTGTCTGTCATTTATGTTTGGTAATAACAATTATAAACATTGAATCATGAGTTTCTCGCTCTCTAGTCACCAAGTTTGCTGTTACAAGTACATTATTGATAAAAAATATTTTCAACAATAATTCATCTCACTGATTAATTAAAGAACTAATGCAATGAAGGAAGTGCTGCGCTGGAAAGCACAACTAAAACTAATTATATGTTTGGTAAAGCATCCCTAAAATATGCCTTATTAGAAAGTGGTATTTAACACTATGTCATACATGTTAAGCTCTTTATATAAAGCCTTCATAAAATGAAATAAATGAAATATTTGACTCAAGTTACTGCCCTAGAAATAAGCTCTCTTGTCAAACGACATGAAGCAAAACCCTTGACCTCATTATTGTCTGATTGGCCTATATAGCATCAAGCTGAGCTATACTATTCACAGTAATTTCCAAAACAATGTGTCATCCTATAGGCTATTATATGCCAAGAATAGCTGTGGTATTTCACCGCAGCACCTCACAATAGCAGAGCGCAGCACTCCATCTCAAAGCTGCAGGTCAACAAATGCAGTTGAAGGTCTGTGGAAACTTCCAATTGTTCTATTTTTCTACAAAAACGTCACCTAAAACTCATACAAGAAGAGAAGAGAACCCACGAAACAAATGAGACAAAAGTAATTTTACCTGATTATTTATTGATTTGATCTGTGGGAGGGGGGAAAGTTTGCCAACCTCCAGGATTTATAGTTAATTTTAAGGTGAAAATTAGAGTCTGATATTTTCAATCACTGGTATGACTTGTTTCATTTATGAACAGGAATCTATTAAATTCTGATCTGTGGCAGCTACAAGTGAATTTCTGGAATCAAAGAAAAAAAAAGTCTCATTTTTGTTTTGCGTCCACTTTATTTTAGGACTTGTGTTAAAACTGGATGGTGCTTAATGTCACATTTTTGTCGCTATATATAGAGAATTCTAAAGGACTCATATACTTTGAATCTACACGTGCAAATAAGTCATCAATCATGGCACGTGTATCAGTTGCAGCTCAAAGAAGAAAACTTTCCATCGCTGGCCTGTTGCTGTGTCTCGGTCACTGGGGAGGCACAGACCCCACATAGTCCTGCTAATGCATTATTCGAGTCTTGGATGGACTGACGCAGCTCTGGTCTGTTATGTTGTTCTATTTCAATAGCCATTAACATTATCCAGCCCTGAGCAGGACTTCAGCAGAGCTACCTATGGCTGCCAAAAGCTTCACTTTGGAATTTGCACAAATGTGCGTAATAACGCATCGGCATGTGGAGACAAATATAAAGATGCGCAAACAACAGACACCGAAATGGCATCAGACAGGGAGAGTTGCATGTTTTTAATTCCTCCTAAGACTGCTGCACCTAGTAATTATGAATTCAAATGAGGAATAAATAAAAAATGGAATGCTTGTGCTAAATTAAATGGCTGAGGGGGAGAAAAGTGAAATAGTTTATTTATGGATGTGGATCTGGAGATGTGGATTTGATTCAAGCACAAAATGAATTCCAGGCTAATGTTGTGTCTGACCTCCACATGCCAGCCTAATAGTGCAAATATAAAGCAGGAGATTCACTCACCCAGGGCCAAATTCAGCATGATCTCCTGCTCCTCCACGCTCTCTCCACGCAGCAGCGTGTACACAGTGCCGATGATCCACGGGATACCGTGACCGGAGAACTCCACCAGCCGCACCAAGGGCCGTATGGAGCCCCACGCAGACTCCTCACAGGCGCACACCCCGAGCTGCTTGGACAGCCACAGATCTATCGCCAGCAGAAACCGGAGCGTTATTGTAAATATCGGCTGGCTCAGACTGACGGAGAAGTCTTCAGGTTGCGCTCCGGAGGAAAAGTAAGAACAGCTGGAGCTCCGGCGACGGTTATGGCAATCAGATGATGCCCGGCTTCCACATACAGCTGCGCGGCAACTGTTCCTTCTGGACGCTGGTGAGGACATTTTGGTTCGACAAAGTTTCTTTATCTGCCACCTGAATCCTGCTGCGCTCAGACGCAAATCATCCTGCAAACTGGAGCCCCTTTAGGGGTTAAAATGTTACCAGTTTAGAACTGGACTGCACTTGTCATGTGACTAAAAATACTCCGCGAAATTGTGCATCTTAAAAAGGAATTGCGAGTCTGTTTTCTCGAGAAAAAAAAATTGGAAACTCCAACAGGAAACTTAACTTGGTTTGAAAATATCACTCCTCAGGCAAATTAACCAATAATTTACAATGCTAGACTATATTGTCCACCTCATCTCATCATACAATGCATAAATAAAACACTTAAGAATAAGTTACCATACATTTACTTTTCAACAAACTCTCCAAATCCGTGCGTAAAATCGTTTGGATAACTTGTGCCAACTGCGCCAAATGCTGACAGCGCAACCTGAACGCACCGCGATATATGAGGGGGAACTCGGTCCATTGTAAAGTCCTTTTCAGGTCACAGTAGATGCTTTTGTAGCCCGTTCAGGGGGACGTTCCGCCTCCTCTTTATTTGACGCTGTCTGTCATCAGAGCTGCTGCTAAACGGACGAACACTTCCACGGTCACAGCATGCCGGGGCTGCTGCTCGGAGATGTATTTCCTGATTTCGAGGCAGAAACCACACAAGGGACGATTAAACTCCATGAATTTCTCGGTGATTCGTGAGTACACTTATTGATTATTGATTTACCTTCGGATGCCGATTGAGACACCAGTATTCAGACAACAGTGAGAGACTGGGGGAGGAAGGGAGCTCGAACGCGTGCGCACAGTTCCTGTTACCGTTTTATGACTTCTGCTTTAGAACAAAGCTGCAAACAAACCTGTAAAGATAGCATTGTGGACTATGAGTGCATACAGGCCATTCAAAATATTTTATAATGTGGGTAAAAAAAAAAAATGATTTGGCTCATCCCAAAACTGTTTGCATCAATCTTTTTAACTTCTGACAACTTCTAATGAAATTATGTTCAACCTACAAACTATGTTGAGTTACGTTAACTAGCTTTTCCTCGACAATTACTGGCTGAAATTGTCCAGGCATCATAATTTAGAGGAGGGGGCTTGAAAGTCTGAACTCAGGGAGAAGGAAAAAAAAAAGTATCAAGTGAATTTCATCAAGTTTGCTTAAAACTTTTAATTAACTAATCCAGAAACCTGACTTTAAATTACCCACAATACGAAGCTGATACAATTATCAAGACTATGTGGTTTATCCAACACCCCCAACTAATCTTAGCAACTTAAAGGTTTATGCATATTAATACAATTTCGTTTTTTATTTTTAATCTTGCACATTTAATGAGGCTCCTCAGTTTTCCAATCCACAGATGTTGATGAGACATTAATATAAAAGCATTAGTCAGCCGAACAAATCAGGCGTGAGACCTAAAAGTCTGTCAACCACAGGGATGGTGCACACAATCCCACTGCTGACCTCATGACACAAAACAAGACAGAGTTTCGTTTGTCATCATTTTTGACACGTAGGTCACATCCTGTCAGCCGGGTGTCAGAGCCACGACCAAACAGTAGCAACACCACACACTATCGCCACATATAACCTGCTTTAGGTAAGAGAGAACCGAGTTCGAGTGAAAGCTGACTGTGAAATCTCATCTACGCACCGCTTCACTAATTTCTCTGTTCACCCCAGATGGGGAATCTTGTTCTCCCACCCCAAAGACTACACCCCTGTGTGCACCACAGAGCTGGGCCGGGCTGCCAGACTGAGCGGCGAGTTCGGCAAACGCAACGTCAAGCTGATCGCCTTGTCCGTCGACGGCCTGGAGGACCACCATGGCTGGACCAAGGTGCTGTAACTGCATCGTCAGAGTGTCTGGTCCACACATCTGTCCAGTACTTTAGAGTGTTTTGAACGAACGCGGCCATGTAGTCGGTAATATTTAGGAAGACTGGCATCACAATCCAGTAAACATGCCTTTGCTGATTTGCAAGTCAAATGATATTTAGATCTGGATAAACATTGGGTTAAAAATGGATCAGCATTCAGCAGTTCTATATGAAGGGAGGGTCTACAGACTGCTGAGTTGCATCATGGGAACTGTAGGATTCTGTGTTTTTAAATCTTGACCCGTATCAGAAGCTAAAAGTCAAGATTGTTCAGTTTCTCTTATATTCATTCTTTACTGTTGCTACTCATTCGAGACCTTTGGGGAAGTTCACAACACCAGTGTGCAAAACTGTCTTCCTGTCTGAGGCAGTAAACTGGGTCAAAGTGGTTCTGTTTGATCATGTTCAGATTGACTTCAGCAAATTTTATGTGACATCCATCCACATCCTGATTGACTTGAATATCACAGTTACAATGCTCTGGGGTGTCACTTCACCCAGCGTGAGAACAGAAGTTCATGTCGCAACCACAACAGAAAAAAAAAACACTTGATACTGTGGAGGTTCTCTTCCTGCTGCCAGCTCAGACCGACCTGAACTCAACAGACATCTAGAGGTGTTCTGTTGCATCAGGCAACCGGGTAGCACCCTTTAGGTTCTGGAAGTTGTGACGTGGGGCATCCATGGATTCAATTGAATTAAAATCTGAGGAATTTAGAGGCCACGTCGACGCCTTGAACTCTTTGTGATGTTCCTCAGCAACGTCTGTCATGAAGGGGTGTTTGTGGTCTGCGACGATGTCTAGGTAGGTGTCAAAATAACATCCACACCTGCGGTTTTCCGGCAAAGCATTGCTCAGAGCATCCCACTGCCTCTGCCTGTTTGCTTTCTTCCCGTTTTACTGTTCTCAACTCACACACCTGTTTGTCCACGAGATGCAAAAGAAAACAC